AAAACATACCATTATATGATGGCAATCGTGGTGGTGCAGAGCAGAACCAAGAAGATGAAACCAAGCTCTCCATGCTATTGCAATCCCAAATGGTGATGAACTCCAGTTCAGTTGTTGCATTCTCTAATGACAAAACATCACATAAACTTCTCGCATCGATGAATTGACAAACCAGTCCTTGAATGCCATTTAAGAACTTGACCTGAAAATCTCCATCTCCGTTGATACTCAAATCACCCAACACAACTGTTTTAGTTGGAAAAAAATCACTGTCACACCAATAATTTAAATCCACCATTCCTACTGAAATTGTATATGCGCTTAATGATTGAATCCCATCCCAAGATCTGAGATACTCCACGAAGTCAGATAGACCATCGAAATGGCATTTCAAACTTTCCAAATTTCTCAAGGATGCTACCTCCTTTCCTTTAACTGTTATCGGAGCATATCTTTGATCAATTAACGTTTCCTCTAGTACAAAGACTTGCAGGTGAGAGAGTTCTGGTAATATCCCACTAGGAAACTCCTTTTCACCACATCCATTCATTCTAAGATACCTTAGGTTGGTTAGGCATTCCATTCCCTGAGGCATCTTTTCAAGTGCGGTATTAGAGAGATCCAACCTCTTCAGTGCCCTGAGCTTCTTTAATGATGGAACATGTCTTAAGTTCTTACAATAATTGAGCAATAATGCAGTGAGACTCACCAAATCAGAGACACAGTCTGGCAAATTTTCAATACCTGTGCAAGACAGATCGAGGACCTTGAGCCCATGCAATTGCTTGAAAAATGAATCCGCAATCAATCGCAGCTCGTTATTCCCACGTAAAATTAGAGATGACAAATTTGGACACATTGGTGAATGGCTGGAAGGAATTTCTTCGATCTGGTTTCGCATTAGTGAGACTCTTGTGAGATTCTCTGTCCACTCCTCTGCATCTGGTATCTCCTTTAATTGCGCACCTGCTTTAACCATGACTTTAGAGTTTTCTATTTGGATGGCCATGTCCCTAATCAAGTCATGCATCTTGACACATCTACTATGACCATACTCAACACTTTCCAATAAACAGACATTTTCAAGTCTATTAAGCATCGTGTGGCCCTCATCAAATGCATCTATCCTGCTCCTCTTTCCTTCAATTATTCCCTCATCGATCAAATAATCTATCAACATCCCCCTTTCAATAGCATCATCCTCAGGAAATAATGCACAGTACAAGAGACTTTTTCGCAGTGCTGGAACACCTAACCGATCATAACTAAACCACAGTAACTTGAATACTTTCTCATCTATGTCCCTAAATTTTGATTCTCTCAATTTGTTCAATGTATTTCTCCACTCATGTGGGTCATCCACTCCCCTCAAGCTTCCTGCCACTGTAATAATTCCCAGTGGCAAACCAGCACATTCCCCAGCAATATCTTTCGCAATTCCTTCTACTTCTGGTGAAAGTGCTCCATCACGTCCAAGTTTCTCCATGAACAAAATCCAAGCTTCTTCCTCATAAAGTAGCTTCACTTTGATTTTGTGGCGGCAAGCCATCCCACTTCCGGTAAAAGGGCTATGTCACATCCAAGTTTTTCCATGAACAAAGTCCAAGCTTTTCCTTCAGAAAGTAGCTTCACTTTGATTTTGTGGCGGCAAGCCATCCGATGACAAACCGTTTCTGATCTAGTTGTCATAATCAGCTTGCATCCTTTCAACAGCACATGAATTCCCACTTCATCAAGTTCAAAATTGTTCCACAAATCATCTAAAATGAGAATCCATTTTTGTTTCGTACTTAGTTCTTCTGACAATTTAACAGCTCTATCCAGATCATCATCTTCACTTGAAAGGTCTAGATGAAGACTTTTAGCAATGAGATTCTGCAATCTAGTAATGCTAAAATCTTGTCCTTAGTTCTTCTGATAATCTGGCAGCTCTATGCAGATTATCAACCTCCTTTGAAAGGTCAAGATAAAGAAGTTCAGCAATAACATCCTGCAATTTATTAATGCTGAAATCTTGAGACACAGTTAACCACCAAACATGATCACAAATATCTGGTTTTTGTAGAAGCTCATTATGGACATGTTGCAGTATTGTGGATTTACCAACTCCCCCCATCCCATAAATGCCAATGATTGGGACTTTATCATCCATTAACAAAGACCATATCTCCTTCGTATTCTCTTCATTGTCTGTTTCTGACTCTAAATAATAGAGTTCTTCGTCACTGGTGACATCATCTAAAGATTCTAGAGGTGCTAGATTGTATTGTTCTAGGGCTTCTTCTAGAATGATTTCTTCAAAGGCTTTCATTTGGGCCTTTGTGGGCTTGGTATTTGGACATTCATAGCTCATATGTCCAATTTCTTGGCAAATCCAACATTTGCATGTCTTCTTTTTCTGAGGACAAAATTTTTGTTTATCATTTTGTGTTAATTCTTTGGGCTCTTCATTTAAGCCTTTTAGATCCTTATAGTTTTTTATATAGAATCGTTTTCTTTTATTTGGATTTTTAAAATATTTTTTATATCTTTTAGGATTCTTATAATACTTCTTCTTTTTAGGTTTTCTAAACCTATATTTCTTTTTCAGCTTTTTCTTCCATTTTTTAATTTGTGGAATAGTTTGACAACCATACATGGTTTCTGGTCCTTGGAATTTAGGACAACAAAGATTAATTTTCTTTGTCTTTTTAAGCAACTGTCTTTCAGTGCATATTTTTGTTAGTTTCTTGGAAACTATATTTTTTTGCTATCATTAGACTTAATTTACTAATATGTGGCAACTGTTGATATTCTTCTAAGCTTTCTTTACCTATGAAAGGTATCTTTCTAAGGTATCCTTCGATGTAACTAATCCATTCAGTATTAGGTACACTTAAAAGGGATTCCTCATAATCACAGGTGAACTGATCTAAATAACACAGATCACAGATCTGTAACTTAGTCATGCGTTCCCTAGCTTCTTCTTGTTTAATCCTAACTTGGTTTTCACCATCATTAAGATAATTTGTTCCTAGAAACACTGTGGATAACAGGTTTACTATGTTTTGGAGAAAATCCTCTGATGATCCTCTCATGAATTCATCCTTATTGATTCCTTCAATAAGTTCGCTTGCCATTCTGGATGATTTGTTTATCATCAAAATATGGGCTAATTCAAAATCCTCACTAAGATTTGAATCTATTGCTATGATTAATCTTAAGGAATTATGCCAGGATTGAATCCTACGTTTTCTTTCCTTTAGATCTACACAATCTATGTCTAAAATATCAACTTGATATTTCTTTTCAGGTGCATAGTCTTCAGGGATATTATATCTCTGAAATCTACCAGTTCCTGATCTATATGATCCTCCTAGGGGAGCACTTTGATAAGTCGTATTATGACTTCTTGTGGGTCTAGGTCTTGAGGGCCTATCATAACTTACTCCACTACGTGGGTTTCTAGAGGCTCCTTGGGCTGAAGACTCTGCTTGGTTAGCATTCATGCTATCTTCTGTTTCTTCAATGTCTACATTGAGATTATATTTTGGGTTTGGTATTGCTACCAAAACATTTAAATCCTCATGTTGTTCATGGGCTTGTTCTATTTCTGGGTCTTCACAACTCAGAACTTGAATAACCTTATTGGTCCATTCTGTATGGTCATGCGCCATATAATATTCTAACAGTTGTTCCTTAACTGTTTTGTATTCCTTAATCATGGTCTAGGAATATATGTAAAGCTAGTGATTGTAGCTGGTTTTAATCCTGAAGGGGATTTATCATCTTTTGCCATTCCTATTGGTGGATGGGTTGTTTCTTTTCCTAAAGTTGGTGCTATAGGAATTTTTCCTAGATTCTTTTCAAAGGCTAAAAGAATCTCTTTATTGCATTCACATGCTTTGATACTGTCTGAACAGTATTTGATGGCATCGGCCATTTCTAAAAGGCTTCTTTTTATTTCTTCGAGGTCTTTTCTTAAAGCAGCAATTATTGAGGCCGCTGAAGTTTCTATGTGTCTTTGTAGAACACTTATCTGTTTGTCTTCAAGTGTCTTAAAGTCACTTGATAATTGAAGTATGACCTTTTCTAAGGCATCTATCTTTCCAGCCATTGTTTTAGACTTTTAAGTCTATATTTTGGACTATTGTTAAGATTTGTTCAATCTTATTTGGATCTATTTGTTTATTTATTTCTAGATATTCTGTTTTATCTAGCTTTTGTTCCAAAGATTTTAATCTAAGGTTCATCGTTTCTATCAGGCTTTTAACAGTCTTGATATCTTTCTCTATAGGTTCTAATGTGTGCTGGACATTAGCTACCAAATCTTTTAATCCATTATCTAAAAAATGTGGATATTTGAGAGGTTTTGGGAAGTCGTCAATATCACTATCCCCCCCACTGAAAAGTTGTTTGGATGGGAAGCCAAACACATTACTGATACTAGTGACCAGTATTAACACAGATCCTAAGACTGAGTTAATATTATTTAGATGGTTAAGACATCCATCTATTCCTCTTCCACCTTGGTAAGCATATGGTGGTGGATTTGTAGTTACATTTTGGTGTTTTAAACCAATGTATCGTTTGTTAAAATATATATGAGGTTTAACCTGGTGTGGTCCACTCATAATTTTTTATCAGATAAGTCTAAGCTTAAATGGTTTATCCTTTTACTAACAGCGGTGAGGCTGTCATTTGTTGGTGGTGGCAAACCACTCATCCTATGTTGTGCTTTTATTAAAGCAGCTTTTGATTTGGAAGAAGATGATGCTTCATTCCATGTTGGGTTGTATGTCCAATGATTTATTATCCTTGGATTTTCTTCCTCTGCTGAGGATTCTGAATCCTGCCTATGAGGCCTATTCATAATTTGTAACTTAGGTTGGGTTCCTAAGAATGGTTTTGGACTTAAATTCATGGCCCATACTGAATCAAGAGGATCTATCTCTTGAAAGGGTATACTGGAGATCTGTCCGAACTCCTTAAAGATTCCATCTATGCTAATGGAGTCTTTATTTTTGAACATCATTGAATGATGACTATTTGTTAGGGCATAACAAATCTTATAGGTAATGCTAAGGGGCATATCACCACTACGCATTAAATCTGTTCTCTCAAATTCATGAGCAATATACCTCATAACGAAGATGATGAAACTTTTCATCAAGAAGTTTTTGAAGCAGAAGGCATGTTTGCCCATGACATTACTATTGACAGTAATGTATTAAACCAGGTAAGTAAAACAGACTTATCTTTAAATACTAAAGATGTATTTAAATCTTTAAGTACAATAGCTTCTCTACAGAATAAATTATTCCGTAGGAAAAATCATATAATTACCTGCATAGGTACTAGAGAATATCCCATAGATATTAAAGATACTCGTGGTAGTACAGAAATACCTTTAGTCTTAAAGGAAGAAATAACACAGAAGTTGGCAAAATTACCAACAGATATTAGAAAAACCATTTCTTACATTCATGTAGGAAGTATAAAAGTAATGTTAAAATCCACTTTCAGAGTAGGAATAAACAGTCCGGTCAAACTTGCTATCGTGGATAGAAGAATGCCTGACCCAAAAGATGCTATCTTTGGAGCAGTCCAAGGAAATTTAGCGTACGGTAAATTAGTATTTACCTGTAGTCCACGTTTCTGTTCTGAGTGCTTATTAACTAAGAACGCAGGACTAAAGTGTGGGGACTTACTTGTTTCTATTAGATTGGCATCTAATAATTCTTGAATTTGTTTAGCAAATTCTTCTCTATCGGGTGCAGTGTATTGCATCGGTGGAACTTTTATTTTAGTTGAAGGGTCAACTAATTCTATATGAGCTCTAAACTTGTATTTAGATATTTTGTTGTCTAATGGATTGTCACTGCAAACCATTTTTAATTTATCTTCTATTGTAGATAAATTTATTAGACTGAGTAAAAAGTCTTCTGAGGGTGTGATGAAAGTACAGATACTCTCCCCCAAACTTTTTTGATCAAAATCAAGATTTTGAACAATATTTTCGGGTTCAGGAACCTTAGAATGACTGCCATGGCGTTGGGAGTCAAGAAATCCAGGCTGACCACGATGATAAGCCTTGGATATTTTGGGGCAAACAACAGTTTGTCCTTCATGATGGAAGATAATAATTTTTCCCCACTGGGCAAAAGGCTCATAAAGCCGACAAAAATTATTACCTAGCAAAATATCATATCTAGAATTTCTTCTTGAGGGATTTTTGTCAAGTCAGTCCATTCGACTTGATTGAGGTCTATAATTTCGTCTACTTTACATAAAGGTAAAGCGTCGATTTCTAAGAAATCATTGATTTCTTTATCTGTGAGTTGTTCAGACTCATTATTTGTGAAACACGAGTTAGTGTTATCATTTAGAAGTAGGTCCCAGCCTTCTTCTTTTTCTAATTCTTCCCATGTGGGAATCTTATCTTCAAGATTACTCCTGATCTGAGCTATCAGAGCTTGTCTCTGAATAGTCATCTGGTTCATTGTCTGTTTCTGACTCTAAATAATAGAGTTCTTCGTCACTGGTGACATCATCTAAAGATTCTAGAGGTGCTAGATTGTATTGTTCTAGGGCTTCTTCTAGAATGATTTCTTCAAAGGCTTTCATTTGGGCCTTTGTGGGCTTAGTATTTGGACATTCATAACTCATATGTCCAATTTCTTGGCAAATCCAACATTTGCATGTCTTCTTTTTCTGAGGACAAAATTTTTATCTATCATTTTGGGTTAATTCTTTGGGCTCTTCATTTAAGCCTTTTAGATCCTTATAGTTTTTTCTATAGAATCGTTTTCTTTTATTTAGATCTACACAATCTATGTCTAAAATATCAACTTGATATTTCTTTTCAGGTGCATAGTCTTCAGGGATATTATATCTCTGAAATCTACCAGTTCCTGATCTATATGATCCTCCTAGGGGAGCACTTTGATAAGTCGTATTATGACTTCTTGTGGGTCTAGGTCTTGAGGGCCTATCATAACTTACTCCACTACGTGGGTTTCTAGAGGCTCCTTGGGCTGAAGACTCTGCTTGGTTAGCATTCATGCTATCTTCTGTTTCTTCAATGTCTACATTGAGATTATATTTTGGGTTTGGTATTGCTACCAAAACATTTAAATCCTCATGTTGTTCATGGGCTTGTTCTATTTCTGGGTCTTCACAACTCAGAACTTGAATAACCTTATTGGTCCATTCTGTATGGTCATGCGCCATATAATATTCTAACAGTTGTTCCTTAACTGTTTTGTATTCCTTAATCATGGTCTAGGAATATATGTAAAGCTAGTGATTGTAGCTGGTTTTAATCCTGAAGGGGATTTATCATCTTTTGCCATTCCTATTGGTGGATGGGTTGTTTCTTTTCCTAAAGTTGGTGCTATAGGAATTTTTCCTAGATTCTTTTCAAAGGCTAAAAGAATCTCTTTATTGCATTTGACAGCCTGTCTTCTACTGAAGAAAGCGACAGCCCAGCTGCCACAGATTAAAGGGCCAACAACATGTGAAAGGCCAACAACAACGTGGACCCTACCACGATAAAAAGGAACTATGTAATAATAGATATAGTTTGGCTATAAAAGCCATAGAACCCGAGATGTAAGACTCAGAATTTTCTGAGAGAAGAAACCCCTGTAAAAACAAAAAACCTTGCTATTGTAGTCTCAAAACCTTCCTTTCAATAAAATATATTCCCAACGTGGAATATTAAAATATACACATTTTGTGTCTCTAAAGTATACTTATATACTTTCTAAAGTATCTACCTACATTCTGTAAGTAGCCTACTACGTGAGTCTCCTGGAGCACCTGAATAGCACAAAGTAAGTCCCGTATGATGATGATGAGGAGAAGGGCAGAAGTGTTGGTGTTGGAGCTGTATAATGGCGAAAGTATAAGGGTAGTGTCTTCAAAGATACAGAAGAAAGAAACAGTATAAAGGTATGTCTAATACTTTTACAGAAATAGGAAATAAGTTCTGTGAACTTATAGATTGTATAGACTGGTCAAACATACAGTCTTTACGACATATACATGATATCTTACAATCTAAGATAAACTATCATGAGGATAGAATTCCAAATGACATAGAAGATGATTATTTCAATCAACCCCAGAATATACATCTAAGCTTCAAACTTAGATTATTAAGTAGTCTTTTACGAAAGATTAAAAAATATATTGAGGAATTAGAAGAAGATTCCCAAGATCCACAGGCTTATGAGTCTGAAGAAATAGGTGATTATGATCCTACTAGTTAGGAATAATGTATATCGACTGGAAACCAGTAACTAGAACCTATGGTTCGTATTTCTGGTATAACTATGTTGTGCTTTTATTAAAGCAGCTTTTGATTTGGAAGAAGATGATGCTTCATTCCATGTTGGGTTGTATGTCCAATGATTTATTATCCTTGGATTTTCTTCCTCTGCTGACTTCCCAAAACCTCTCAAATATCCACATTTTTTAGATAATGGATTAAAAGATTTGGTAGCTAATGTCCAGCACACATTAGAACCTATAGAGAAAGATATCAAGACTGTTAAAAGCCTGATAGAAACGATGAACCTTAGATTAAAATCTTTGGAACAAAAGCTAGATAAAACAGAATATCTAGAAATAAATAAACAAATAGATCCAAATAAGATTGAACAAATCTTAACAATAGTCCAAAATATAGACTTAAAAGTCTAAAACAATGGCTGGAAAGATAGATGCCTTAGAAAAGGTCATACTTCAATTATCA